ACCGCTAAGCCACGGGGCCGGCCCTGTAACAGCAATCTTATCCCAATATTCTTTTAAGGACTATATGGACCCCAGTTCCTCAGATGCTCTGGGGACCAGCTTTACCGTCTTCCTGGTTCCCTCATTAATTAATGAGTTGAATAAAATTTTTGATACATGTTCATCCTCTATTTGTAAGATTCACGTTTTTAGCTTCTGAAAATTATACTTTGGCACTGCCTGTCACAGGGACTTTGAGAAGGTGAGAGAGGATCTCAAAGTCATCGAAAGCCAGGCTCAAACTTTAACGTGTCCATGCGTCACATGGGGGTCTTGTTAAAATGCAGATTCTGATTCAGAAGGTCTGGGGAGGGACCTAGCCTCTGCAGGTCTCACACGCTCCCGGGTGCCATTGATGCTGCTCATCTGCAGACCACACTCTGAGTGGCAAGGGCCTGGTCCAACCTCTCAGCTTTGTCTATAGGAATCCCCTTCAGTCCTGACACGGTTGGAATAAGATCACAGGAAGAGGGCAGCACTAACCAAAAGCAATGCTCTCATCCTCGTGGGACTTCAGGCACAGTGGCAGGGTAGTGGGGGGGATCGGGGGATTGCCCATCCTCCCTCAGGTCATGCATTCTGGCTCCGGCCACTCCACTTAGGAAAACCCTAGCCGGAAAAGCCCCAGCCGTGATATCATGGCTTTGAAGGATGGGAAGACCAAAGTGAGGAAGACTTCCTACTGCTGTCAAGTTCTTTGGAAGCAAACTTTCCCGGTGGGACGCAAAGGCCCTGAGGCATGAGCACACCTGGGTGTTAAAGGATCAGCAGAAGCCAGTGTGCCTGGAGTGCAGTGAAGGATGGGGAGGAACAGCTTGTAGGATGGGGAAGCATGAGACCAGAGAAGTAATGGAGGGAAGAAGACGGCAGGCCTTGAAGACACTTGTGAGGACTTGGCTTTACGTTGAAGTGCAGTGGAAGCCACTGCAGGACTTGGGGCAGACAAGTGACTTAGGATTTAAAAGGATCCTCTGGGTGCTGTATGGAGGAGAAATAGAGAATTTAAGGTGCACAAGTGTGGGCCCTGCTTCAAGTCTGGTTTACTGGGGCTGAGGTGTGCCTGGGAATCTGCATCTTAAAACACCCCAGTGATTGACTCCTTTGTGGATAGTCCAGAGATCCAGCACCAGCCCTTGCACAACTCCAGGGGCCCGTTCACATTGTTTTCTGTGCAATTGATGCCAATTAGCTAGAATGCATTGTGAATGACACCCACTGGAGTTGTGCAATGTGGCAGTCCTGCAGGGCTCACCCTTGAAGACACCCTAATTTAAGTGCTTCCTGTCTACAGGAGAGAGGGTGCCCAGGTCCCTTGGCTGTAAGAATCTGGATGTACACAGAGTAGCATAGCCCCAGCTGGCTCCTGGCCAAGGCCTTGAACGCCTCATCATCCAAGTCTTCAGTTGTCTTCGAGGCCTGACACGAGCTTCCTAGAATCCTAACTGTGAAGATGGGGTGAGCAGTGAGCTGTCGGTCTTCTTACTCCCTGTGGGAGTAAATCTCCCATCAGCATCCAGATGTGCTCCAGGGACATGTGACAGGCAGCGGTGCACTGTCCTGAGAGGCGAGGTTCTAGTCAGGGCTCTATGGTCTGGGCCCACACAGGGCAGGTGTAAGCAGATGGGTGAGGAAGCTCTCAGGTGTGTGAAATGGGTGTAACGCCGTTCACTAAGGACCACTTACCTCCACCGTCTGTTGCTGACCCCTATGGCATTAGGGAAGGCAGGTTAGCACCCATTTGATAGATGAGGAAAGCAAGGCCCGGAGAGGCCTCTTCACAGGAATGTGATGGGAGAAGGAATGTGTGAGTTAGAAAAAGTGATTGCTTCTCCCGTCCAAGCCAGCCTCCCAGTTCAAACCCCATCTCTGCTCCTTCCTAGCCACATGCTGACCCCCTAACTAAGCCTGTTTCCTCATCTGTAGACTGGGCACCAAGAGGGGTGTTGCTAATAGTAAACGAGAAAACATACAAGTGCCTGCTCGGTGCCGATAAACAGTAGGAGCTCAATGAGTGCTCTTCCTCAGACCTAAAGCAATTGGGCTTGTGTCCCTTTTCTGAGGGATGGGTCCAGCCCACCTGGCCCTGAGATACACATCCACAGCATGGTGTGGCTGCTCCTGGGCCCAGCCTAGCCCACGGCCCGCCCAGTGGCCCTGAGTCAAGTCGCCTCCCATGCCTGCTCTTCTCGGGCTTGGCACTTCTCCCAGGGCTCTGGCCAGGCCTTCTGGGGTGGCTGCCAGTGCTCACCTTTCCAGAAACTGCTCCCCGTCACAGCTGGCTTTCTGAGAAGAGGCGGGCACATTTCATGTAAATGGCAACTCCAAAGTAAGGCTCTGGGGTCCGACACGTTATTTCGGGGAGACTGAGAATCAAAACCCTCCATGTGTGGTGATAGATGTTAACCAGACTTATCGTGGTGATCATTTCACAATATATACATATAGTGAATCATTACGTTGTACACCTGAAACTAATATAATGTTATATGTCAGCTATATCTCAAAACACACAAAACCCTCCAGCCCCACGCTGCTTACTGTCTACATTAATAAGACTTTGTTATTCCACCATCTTCTTCAACGTAATGGTACTATTCCAGGAAAATCTTGCCCAGGAAGTAAAATTGTAACTCACTTTATTGTTTATTCTAGGAGATTCCTGAAAGAATCACTTAAAGGGAACATCAAACTGCTCAATTCTTCAGCAAACAGCATAAAAAGAAGAGTTTGCACCTTAAAGCTCAACCCCTCACCTCGCCATGCCCCCTTGTCGTGTCCACCGACCCTAAACTATATGCTGCTCTTTATCCAATCCCAGTCAAGGCGCCCTCCCTCGCACTGAGAGCCCCACCTGAAACCAGACTCCTAAGTCTCCTAACCACAGTGACTTTGCCCTCCCTGCGCTGACACGCTCGTCAGACTGTCAGGGGGAGCTCTCCCCTTCCTCGAGAAGAGCCGGCTCAGTTTTGGCAGGGCAATCTCGTGCTATCTGTGGGTGCCAGCATTGGACAAGAAACAGAGTCAGATGGGGTCCTCCCTCTGACCTTTGGGGTGGGGGCGGGCAGCAGCCTGAGTCCAGGCTAATCCACAAGGGAGAGTTATGACAGGGCCCCCAGAATCAGAGAAATAGTGACCACGTGAGTTCCCAAAAGGCCCTTGGGGATCTCCCAGAGCAGCCCCCTCACTTTACAGACAGAAACGGGGCCTGGAGAGGGAAAGGGACTTGTCCAACTCAGAGAGCTAGCTCGGGTCGTCACAGGCATCAAATGAGTTACTATCTGTATCGTGCTTAGACACTGCCTGGCACCCACTGAGCTCTGTGTGTTTGTTACATAAAAATAACAGAGTGTCTGACCTAAAACTCAAGGCAAACTCAGGCTGGCCTTTCAGATTTAGAAAACAAAAACTGACTTTAACCTTGAACCTCAAAGTGGTTTCTCACGTGCATCAGAACACCTGGAGGGCTTGTTAAAACAGTGCTGGGCCACACCCCTCGAGTGTCTGATTCTAGATACAGGGCGGGGCCGGAAATTTGCATGTCTAACCAGCTCCCTGGTGATGATGATGCTGCTGGTCCAGAGACTCCTCTTTGAGAACCACAGACCCTGCGGAATGAATGGCTAAGAGTGTAATTTCTCACATCAGTGAGGGAAAAATGTGGGGACAGCGGGTCCCTTCATCCTTTCCCGGGTGTCCAGGTCTCCCCCAGGGCTGATGTTTAGCTGCCCCCTACAGCAGCACAGTTTTAGGGCCACATCAATCCTGCTTGGCTGCGGCGCGCCCATCTGCGAATAGTCTGAGTAGCACCCGTGTGGCTTCCTTTACCTCATGCTTGCAACAAGAGGGGCAGCCCTTCCTCTTTGCAGCTGGACAGGTTGACACTAACGCTACGGGAGGTCTGTGCAGTGTGAATGAGTCAAACACCAAGCAGGCAGATGAAACCAACGCACTCTTTATTGCAGACTGAAGCTAAGGGCTCACTCACACTGCGGGCTCTGATTTGGGGGCTTCTCTGACTGCCCAAGCTTTCCCAGAAAGGCAAGGGCAAAATTGCCAAGCAGAAAGAAAACAGCTTCCAGAAGCAACCCCTTCAACGGTCTGAGGTGAGGACCTGGGGAAGCAGGAGCTTGGCATGCAGAGGTTAACCAGAAAGGCGGTGTCCAGAGGGCCAGGCAAACCTGACCCTCATCTCCTGGTGACTTCCGGTTACTCTCTTCACTGGGAGTGCCACGCAGACTCTGAAAAGTTCTAAGAGGCTCAGGGTCTCCCGGGGCTGGTTTAGGGAGGGGGAACACAGACTCTGAGCCCTGGGGTGGCAGGGTAGGGCAGAGAACATTCACCCTCCACGCCGAGGACATCCCCAGGGTCACCCCCAGGCCCTTGCTTCTCAAACTGTAAAGTGCTTACAGGAGTCGCTCGGGATCTTGTGGAAACGCAGGTTCTGATTCCAGGGGTGTGGGGTGGGGCCTGGGATTCTGCATTCCTAACAAGCTCCCATGGATGCCAATGCTGCCGGTCCACAGACCACACTTTGAGATGCAAGGTTCTGGCCACATGATGCCATTGTGCATATCAGAAAAGTGCACCCCTCTTCAACAAAGAGAAACTGCACTCCAGGACACAGGGTGGGTGGGACCAGGCCAGCCTGGACTACTGCAGCCCCCCTTGTCCCCAGTGTCCACAGCTGAACTCTGTAACCCTGGAGCTCCATCTGGACCTCTTCACCCTGAAAACTGCTTTCCCAGAGCTTGGCCAGCCAGGACTTGTGAGATAAGCAGAGTGAACAAAGCATCTCTTGGGACGCTGAGTGCTCAGTGATGGGCCAACAATGGCCCAAGCTGTTGGCTTCTTGCCAAGAGACAAGAGGCCTGGGCAGGGGCAGACCCCAAGGCCGGGGATAAAGGGAATGGGAACATTCTGAGAAAGGGTTAGTGCTCTGAGCTCTGAACACCTTACTCCTAGGAGTAGAAGAGTGGCTACCGGTCCATGGACATAGGATGTGGGTAGCCTGGCTTGCCCAAAATCATGGGGCCTCAGGTGTCTCCCACAGACCAAGACAAAGGTAGGTCCAGACCAGAGGGGCTCTGGGCTCTGAGTCTGCTTGCTCCACAGATGAGAAGGTAGATTCCTGGAGATCAAGAGGTCAGGGGTTCTACAAACCACAGACGTTGTCATAAAGCAAGAGCCCCAGGCTCCTTCCTGGTAAGGGGACCAGTTGTCCCTGTTTGCTGGTACTGTCCCAGTGTTAGCACTGAAAGTCCCACATCTTGGGATACCCCTCAGTCCTGGGCAAGCAGGGATGGTTGGTCACCCTATTGCCTGGCCACATCCTAGACTCCAGGTTGAGGGCCTAGAAATGACTAGGTCAGCAGGGCTTTGGATGGTGGCCTGGGAGCTGGCCAGCCACAAATCCAATAGTCTGTGGTGTCTTCTGCCCCCAGGTGGACCAAAGACAAGGCAGCCAGAGGGAGAACGTGGTGGGAGTGGCCATCTAATTACCCGGGACCAGAGCCACAGGCACACATGGCTTTGTTTCTCTCTGGGCCACCTCTCCTGTGGCTCAAAGGGTGAGGCCAGGCACACCTGCTCAGTCCCGAGGAGCACTCGGAACTTCCCACCCCACCGACATCATGAGGAAGGACAGAGCCGACTCGATTTGTTCCCCGGTCCCCTGGCCTGACAGGCCTTGGGCTCCTATGTAACCATCCTCAGCTCTGCTGCAGCGCCGGCCACACTCTCTCCACAGCATTCCCACCGGTGCAGAGACCCACAGGGTGAGGTTGGGGCACTGGGAAGGGCCTCATCCGGCGGGTCCTCAGGAAGCAATAAATAGATGGAGGTTGTCCTCTATTCCGCTCAGGGCAGCGACTGGCTCTCACCACTAGAAACAAGGCCTCAACCTCACAGGGGCCCAGGAAATGCTCCGCGATGCTTGTCTGTGGGCTCAGAAGGCGCCCGAGGATTTGAGGGTGACTTGGGGGCACGTGTTGCCTAAAGAGCCTCCAAGGAGCCTAAAAGAGGCAAAGGCCCCCCTCCACCCCTTTTCCCAAATAACAAGGCTCAGAGATGGTGGGGGTCTGCCCAGGTTTGCACAGAAGCTGTGAGTACCCGGAGTTCGGGCTCCAGCCCCCACCTCGCCTCCTCCCTCTGGGCATTCCAGGGCCCGCTACTGCTCTAAGCTATCTATCCTGGACCAGCTGCACCCCCCACCACGCTGTGCGGCCCACCCATCCCCAGCCCCCCAACCTTGGCCTCCCATGGGCCTTGGGACACCCTTCCCTCAGGGCGCCATGCCAGGTGGCCTCTGTCCCTTGGTGGGTGGGCAGGAGGGGGGAGGCCTACGGTGGGGGCGCCCGCGCGCCCTCCGGAGACATGAACATGTCAAACTTGATGAGTGGTGGGGCGATGACGCGCACCTCGGCGTTCAGCGGGTTGAAACGGAGGTTGATGCTGCGCAAGGCGGGCATGGCGGCCAGCTTCTCTACAGGCACATCTGCTGGGGAGAGAGGACAGGTTAGGGGCTAAGCAGGCAGAGAAGAAGGATGAGGGAACAGGAAGACACTCACCCTGGTGGGGAGGAGCTCTCCATCACCCACTGCACACGGGGCCCAGCTGCTGGCACCTAGCCCCGTGTGAGGGGCCCTCAGGCCCACCGGGCATTACATCCACATGCAGGAAAGCATCCCTCAAAATAAAGTTAAACTCTAGGATTGCCACTTATTCCAGCAATTCCACTCCTGGGTAGAAGCAAAAGAATTGAAAACAGGTACTTAAATACTTGTGCACAAATGTTCATAGCAGCATGATTCACCATAGCCAAATGCCCATCAACAGAGAATTGGATAAACAAAATGTGGTATACTCACACAATGGAATATTATTCACCCATGAAAAGGAATGAAGCACTCATACATACTACAACTTGGATGAATCTCAAAAACATTATGTTGAGTCACATATAAAAGTGACTCAAAAAGTCACATATTGTATGATTCTATTTACATGAAATGTCCAGAATAGGCAAATCCATAGAGGCAGAAAGTAGATTAGTGGTTGCAGGGGCTGGGGGGAAGGGGAATAGAGAGTGACTGCTTAATGTGTACAGGGGGTCTCCTTTGGGGTGATGAAAGTATTTTGGAACAAGAGAGAAGTGATGGTTGCAGAACATTGTAAGGTACTAAATGCCATTGAATTGTACACTTTAAAATGGTTAATTTTATGTCACGTGAATTTTACCTCAATTAAAAAAACCAGACTGGAACAAGGCAGCAGCTGTATTAACACCTGATAACCCTTGACAGTTCCTCACGTTTAACCTTTAGGATCACTCAGTCTTTGGTTCAAGTCCCAGGTGGGCCACGTAACAGCTGTGTGCCTAAAGCAAAGTACTAAACTTCCTATCAGGGTAATAATAATACTATAGTATATACCTCGCAGGGCTGAGGATGAATGAAAGAATATATGTACTCCACACAGTACTCAGTGAATATTAGATACTATTAATAAAGGAAACCGAGGCCCAGAGAAGTTAAGTCAACTTGCCTAAGGCAACACGCTTGTAACTACCTGAGCCCAGGTTAGAATGCACATTCTCAAAAGGCTGCAGGAGTTCAGGGAGGGAATGGCCAGCCGGGCACAGAGATGGCAGCTGAGTTAGGACTTCAAGGATGGGCAGGATTTGAATGAGGGGAAGGGGTGTTTGAGGTTGGCGAGCAGTAGGGGTAAAAGCATGGGGCAGGATGCCAGAGAGGGCAGGGGGCGGGGCCTGGAAGGCTGTATCACTGGCATCTATAAGCTTCCAGGTCCAGATCCTGGGGCCCAGCCCTGCGGGCAGATTGGAACACCAAGGACTGTAGGGCCCCTCAGCCCAGGGAGCCAGGCCCTCCTGCCTGGGCCCAGGGAGCCCTGTGGGACAACCTGATCTGTGTTTCTGTTCCCCACTTTGGACCACCATATAGGGAAGTCTCTATTTAGGAGGGTGCATATTGAGGTCCAGAGAGTGATCCAGACCACCTGGGTTCAGATCCCAGCTCTGCCATTTTCTAGCTGTGTATCCTTGGGCCAGTTAACCAAACTTTCTTTGACTCTGTTTCCTCATCTGTGAAATGGGGGAAATGATAGCACCTATCCAATGGGGTTGTTGTAAGGATCAGAGGAGTTACCACACAGCACTCAGAACAGTGTCTGGACGCATACTAGGCTGTTGATAACCAGCGCCAACACTGCAACACGCAGGCCCAGGGCTGAGCTGCCCCGGACGCAAGCCCTGTCCAGTCGGAAGCTCTAGCTGCATTTGCTCCGCCCTGATCCCACTCTGTGAGCAGCCCAGATCCCATATGATCTCCTGCCCTAGCCCAGGACAGGGCCAGGGCCTCAGCCCTCCGAGCTGGCACAGCCACAGGCCATCAGTGATGGCAACAGCCAGCTCCTGCCTCTCCAGGGCACCGTGCGTTGGGCAGAGATAAGGGTTTGTTGTTTTTGTGGTTGTTTTGTTTTAAATTTTGTACCACACTGGCACATGTTACACACGTATTTTTTTTTTTTTTTCCCCCCAAAGCCCCAGTAGATAGTTGTATGTCATAGCTGCACATCCTTCTAGTTGCTGTATGTGGGACTCGGCCTCAGGATGGACGGAGAAGTGGTGCCTCGGTGCGCGCCCGGGATCCGAACCCGGGCCACCAGCATCGGAGCGCGTGCACTTAACCACCAAGCCACGGGGCCAGCCCTACACACGTATTTTTAATTTAGTAAATGGTATTGTGCAATAGATCTCATTCTATTTCTGTGTTTCTTCCCCAAGCACCACTAAATTTATTTTGAGATACACATACAATAAAACGCTTACAGTACAGGTAGGTGTACAAAAACGTCTACATTGCGTGACCTCCACCCTGACCAAGCTGTAAAACATGTCGAGAACTCCCACACAGTTTCTTTGTGCCTCTTTCCAGTTTATACCCCCTGATTTTTCGCATCATTGATTAACTTGGCCTGTTCCTGAACTTAATATAAGTGGAACAATCTAGTATGTGTCTTCAGAGCAAGAATTGTTTACTTGGGACATTTTGAATATTATTGTCTCAAGTTACTCTTTTCTTTTTACCTTTTTATTTGGAAATAATTTCAAACTTAGAAAAAGTTACAAAGGTAAAAACGGTACAAAGAACACCACAAATTTTACCAAGATTCACCAATTGTTAACATTTTACCCTCTTTGCTTTATCTTCTGTGCATGTGTGCCGTCTCTCTCTTTCCAACACACACACACACACACACACACACACACACACGATTGTTTTCTGAATTACCTGGGGCTAATATGCATATATCATGGCTCTTCATTCCTACTTCACTGTGTCTTTCCTAAGAGTAAGGACATTCTCTTACAAAACCACAGTTCAGTTATCGATTCATAAACTACATGGATAGAACACTTATCTAACATCTGGCCCATATTTCAGCTTTGTCAGGCAACCTAATAATGTCCTTTCTAGCATCTCCCTCCTCCACCACAGGACCCAGTGTAGGGTCACATATTGCATTTAGTTGTCATGTCTCTTTGGGCTCCTTTGTCTTTTATGACATTGACATTTTGGAAGAATATCACGACCATCGTCCCTGTCTTTTTGATAGAGTCCCTTGTTTTGTGTTCATCTGGTGTTTCCCCAGGATTAGACAGGGATTATGCATCCTCAGCTGAAACACCGCACAGGTGGTATGTTCTTCTTGGGGTGTCACATCTGGAGACACATGGGGTCCATCTGTCCCTCATAAGTGATGTTAATTTTCATCACCCAGTCCAGGTGTTACCTGATACCTGATTTCACCACTGTAAAATTACTGTTTTTTTCCCTCCTTTGCAACTAACAAGAAGTCTGTGGGGACACACTTTAAGAGTATGCAAATATCCTGCTCCTCATCAAAATTTAGCATCCATCGCTCCGAGATTTGACATCCACTGATGATGCTTGCCTGATCTGATCTTTAGGATGGTTGCAAAATGATGATTTTCCAGCTCCATTATTTTACTCTAAGCAAGAGCCCTCTCTTCTCTCTCATTTATCTACTGATTATCAATGTTGACTCCTATGTTTCTAGTGGTTTACAGTTCATGATTGTATTTATTTTGCTGCTCAAGTTGCTCCAGACTGGCCAGTAGGAGCCCCTCCAATCTGGCTCGAGTCTCTGACATGCCCCCAGCACTTTTTGATGCACTTGCTTCCTTTCTAGGAAGGCCCACCTCGAGCCTTCGCTGCCCCAGCCCCGGAATCAGCCACCAGGGAGTCCTGGTTCCCTTCCGTGGGGAAGGTATCAGTGCCCAACACTAACAGTGCTGGTGACCAACCATGTTTCACAATCCATTCACGGGGTCCCAGGAACGTCTAATCCATTTGTTTTTGACTGCTGCCTAAAGCACCATCCTGTGTTCCCACCACACCCTACCTCTCCACTCTGCCAGCGAGGGACACCCAGGTGGCCTCGTCTGTCCTTAAGGGCCGGTGTGACAATGTCTCTGGATGGATGCCCAGGAGCAGGACTGCTTGCTCCGGCAAAGGATATGCGTGTAACTTCATCTACCTGTTCTCTAGAACTCCTGCTGAGTCTGCCGGGAGCTCCGGTCACTCTGCTGCCCCAGAGCTTTCAACAGAGGCTGCCTGGACCTGCCCGCCATCTCCAGGCTGACGCACATCAGGCCCCTGAACTTCAGCAAGGGGATCCTTCCCTTCCCATGCCTTGGAGCTCTGCAGTGAGGGGTGGGCAGTGCCTGGGGCTCCACAGCCCAGGAAGCGGGTGAGGAGCGCCCACACTGGGCTCTGCTCTCTACCCTTTGGAAAGACCCCACACAACTGAATCCTCTGAACACAGATACTCTCCTCCCCTCTGGACTTGGTAACCAGGATGTAACTACGCCCTAGCTCTTATGGGGAGAAGGGAAGGGGAGGCCACTAGCTCAGGATAGTTCCTTACACTGTGCATGTCACTCAGGTTTATAAAGCACTTCCATATTGATTCTCCCGATAGCCATGGGGATAGAGCAGCACAGGTCCTCCTCTGCCCACTTTAAAGATGAGGAAACCGAGGCTGAGAAAAGACTGACGATGGGCTATGAAGCCACAGAGCTGGGCCCTGATTTGCTGCTCGCTGGTTCGCAGCAAGCTCCACAGTGTCCTCGCCCGGCTGGGTGGGTGGGGACGGGAGGAGAGAAAGCAACCCAAAGGCCTTAAGCCTGAATCAGCAGGCGACTCAGCAACTACGGGAACTCCCAGGGCTCCTCCCCAAGGCTGTCAGCCTGAGATGTTCCCAGCAAGGTGGGAGTTTGCAGGGATTTGGGTCTTTGGGATCTCTGTGTTGGATCAAGTTTTGTTGTTGACGGTGTTTTTGTGTTTAACTAACATGTGTTGAGTGCTTGCTGACTTAAGCTCTTTGTGTTAAGGTTTTTAATCCTCGTGATAGCCATATGAATTGAGTACTATTATGGTGTCCATTTTATAG